GGGTGACAATCATTGTAACCAAAAGTCATGTTTTGTAGCCGTCATTCTCTTATTAGTAATATTTCCTATTTCATCATTTATTCTATCTTTGCACCAACAGTATATACAAGATCTTATCTAAACTCCTAGCCATGAGACTGAAAAGAGGCATTGGTAAGCTTATCCCAAACAAGCAATTTGCTTTTATTCCCGATAGAATTAAACATATTGGATGGAGTTTTAGTGGCGAATGAAGTTTTAGCTTTTGCTAAAAGAGAGAAAATGATTTGTTTACTGTTAAACGTTGAATATGAAAGTGCTTATGATAGTGTTAGCTGGAACTATTTAGGTTTCTTCTAAATAAAATGGGCTTTAGTGCAAAGTAGATCAAGTATATGTAGACTTGTGTCTTCTGTAGTACTATGTTAGTGTTAGTGAATGGTAACTCTACCAAGGATTTCAATGTAGGGAGAGGTTTAAGGAAGGGGTTCCCCTATCCACCTTCTTGTTTGTGATAGTTATGGATGGTCTCACAGGGCTGATGAACAAAGCAGTGGAGATATGGGAGTATAAAGGATTTCAAATCAATGCAGAGGTAAATATTGATATTTGTCAACATTTGTCGATGATACCATAATATTATGAGATATGGATAGTAATATTTTCTAGAGTGTCAAGGCTATTTTAATAGTTTTGAGTTGATATCTGGACTAAGAATTAATTTTTGTAAAAGTAACATTTATGGGATTAACATGAGTGATAAAAGTATGACTGCAGCTTCATCTTTCCTATCATGTTGTGTAGATTATCGTCCTTTTAAATTCCTAGGGGTGATGGTAGGAGACATCCATAGAAGAGTGTGTTTGTGGAAGGATATTTTGAGAAACATTAGGAATAGGTTTTCTTCTTGGGAAGAAAGACATATTTCGTTGGGAGGGAGGGTTGTGTTGATCAATGTAATGTTAAATGTTATCACCATTTATACATTGTCTTTCTATAAAGCTCTTATCAAGGTGTTGAAAGAGATTCAAAGTATTCAAAGCACTTTTTTGTGGTGAGGCAATGAAAATAAGAGAACTATTCTTTGGGTCAGTTGGGAGTCTATATGTAGATGTTACCTTGGATTTTTCAACCTAACTATAATTAGCAGGTATTAATGAGAACATCCATAAATATGCCACGTGGAAGGTTAAGATAGAGTGAGTCTACATGAAGATCAATATGACTCAAGATCGGAGGCCACATGAAGTGGTACCGGTCGAAGGACATTGTGAAGAACTTAGGGACTTAGTGAAATTGAATACTATGCTATGTTGGCTAAAGTTGGAGTTCATCACTACAATGGGAGCAATGTCAACTCAGCCACCACATGTGAAGTTCATCATTATAATTGAAACAATTTTGACTTGGATGTTACATATGGAGTTCATCATTATAATGAACAATACGATAGAGTATGTTGCCTTATCATAGTCGATATCAAAGACCTCAACATGGCTAGTCAATTCTTGGCGCTCAGCAAAATAGTTAAAATATTTAAATAGTATTACAAGGCGGAAACTGAGTTAGCAGCGACGGTTATTCAGATGCACGTCGGGGCTCGTCGAGAGAAACCACTGCATGGGTTTGATGCGTGTCACTATGGGAGTAGTCTACCATTATTAGACAGTTATTTTATAGTAGTATATAAGGAGACTTATGATTATTTTGTAAGGGGTCCGCAATTGTACGCACATTTCTACAAACTTAAAAGTACATGTGTGTTGAGAAACGAGTGAGAAAAGATGTACCTATGCATTCCACATTTTGTATTTCAAGCAATTTTACTTTAAAAGTTTTTTTATACATCAAAATGCCTTTCAATTCCTTTTACCTTTTCTATCATTTTTGATGTCATTTGCATTTCATTTTCAAGTTTAAAGTCTTTTCTTTTCTTTCTTCCCTTATGTTACTAGCCTTTTACTTCTAGACTTTTTTACCATTTAAAACTTTTCTATTTTCAATTAGTTACGACAAATGTTTTTCCTTAAATCACTTTGACTGTGACAACATCATGATTTTTACACATTATAAATACATACAAATATGTCTGAGAGATTTTCAAGTTTGATCCTTTAAGTATTAATATAAACTATGTTTGTTTATCAAATTTCACCGTAAGCAGACCCAAAGATTGCGGGGGCTTGGTATTAAAAACATAGAATTGTTTAATAAAGCTTTATTGCTTAAGTGAAAACGAAGGATCTTGCGTCATAGGTATAAAAATCTGGAACTGAATATGTTCACTAGTGATAAAAGTGTGATTAATAAAGGAGATTCAAAATGGTGAAGGGATCTCATATTAGTGGATAACTTGAATGATGAAGACCAAAACAACTTTTTTGCTAATATTTGCTGCAGATTAAAAAATGAAAAAAGAATTTCTTTTTGGGCTATTGGTTAGGCAACCAACCTCTGAAAGACGCCTTCCCTGATGCATTTGCCTCGGTTGCTAATCCTTTTTACAGTGTGGCAAAAGCGAGGTTGTGGGAAGGAAAAGTTTGGAGCTGGAATATTCAGACAAATGTGAAGTATCAGGAAGATGATGATATATTGCAGGTAGAAGAAATTATTTCCCTGCTGACAGAATCTGTTCTGGTGCAGGTGGAATCCGATTATTTCAGTTGGAAACTAAAAGACAACGAGATATTTTATGTCAAATCTTGCTATGTTATCTTAAATTCTATATCAGTTGAAGTGTTGTGGTCGAGTGAAGTTAGAGCATCTCTTAGAATCCCATGAAATTTAAAAGTTTCGTAAAATATACAAATGTTCGGCTGGAGGATGCTTATTGATAGATTATCAAAGAGAGATTAATTAGTAAAAAAAGATATTTTGGTTAATGTTAGAGATAAGGCGTTTTAAGGAAGAAGAAAATATAAGTCATTTGTTCAGAACTTGTGAAGTCTCAGAAGAATTTGGGTTTTGTTAGATATTTAGTTGTGCAATCAAGTTGAATTAACTTTTGAATGCATTTTAAGCTTTATTTTTCATTGTCATTAAGTGAAGGACGAGGATAACAATAATAAAATTTGTTTGATTTGGTTAGCCACTATTTGAAATGTTTGGTTGATAATTCTATTATGTTTTAAAGTAGTGTTTTTAATTGAGAGGAATGTTTGTTGTCTATTAAATTTATGTCTGTCAAGGAGGTGGATGTATATAGGATGTAAATTCATTATTTTGTGTAGTTTATGGAATATCTCACTTTTAGATTGTCTTTTGGATGAGAATATCTTGCTTTGTGTTGAGTTAGAGTATCCTTTATATTAGTATTTAATGGAATGAAATCATTGCCTACAAGAAAATATTTTTCTTATTTTAATATATATCAATTAAAATAAAATAAAATAAAGGGAAGTTCTTATTTATCCAACTTAAAAAATTAGATAAAGTTACTATAAACTAAACTAAAGTGTATTGAAAATCTTCAAAATTTAAATTATAAATACATAATTAAATATAATAAAATGATATGTTATTATTGATTGAAGATATACTATTCAACATTTTGTTACGAGGAGGTAAGTTCTCTTTTAAAATAAAATATACTCAAGCTTTGTTTGGAGAGGAAGAGAAGGGGGAGATCTTTAAAATAAAAAGGAAGTAATGACCGAAAAGAATAAAATGATTTTGGTTAGCAGGTTTTGAAGTGTTTGTTTTTATATATAATATTAAAAATCTGTAATTTTAAAAACTTAAAATTTGTATTAAAGGAGGATTTTGAAAGGCTTACACAAATTTTTCAAATATAAGTTATGTTGTTAGTGTTTTAAAAATTAAAAATATATTAATGATAAGTATTATTTTATCATTCAATAAAAAAAAATTCTAAAAAATATTGAAGATATATCTATATTTTTCATAAAAATTATTTTTCGAAGTTCTTCCTTCTCTATCGTCTTTAAATTTTTAAACAAAGAGCATATTTAATGGAGTTTGCTTAATGCAACTAAAACTTTCTTTTCATCGTCTTTAAATTTTCAAACAAAAAACATTTAATGGAAATTGCTTAATGCACACTAGAATTTATAAGTTTTTAAACATAGTATTTTATCATTAGAGTAAATATATATAGCATTCTCGTTACTTAAATATTTGTGCAAGTTGATTCTTGAAACATTTTAAAAATTGTATAATTTATTATTAAATGATATTAATTTTGATAATTGATAGGTCAAATTTAAATTAACTGAATCACATATAAATTGTTTATTGAAATCGACCAGTTAAATTGATTTGAATTGTTTAAACAATAAAATATATGTTAATTAATTTATTTATTAATGGAGATAAATCTAGTGAAAATGGACTGAACTCTCTCACAATGAACTTAAGTTTGAAATTTAGCTTAAAGATATATATAACTCAAACATTTAGTATGTATTTAGATTTACGCTAAAAAAATCAAATCACGGTGAAAAACTATGTCTCAATATGTAACAAAATGTGAAAAAAAATGAAACAAATATGCATATGTGCTTATGTGCCATGGTTTTTTGAGACTGTGAAAATGGTTTAAAAAGGATACTGTGTAAAGATTTCAGTGGTTAACATACACATCTGAACAAATATTTAGATGACTTAAGATTTCAGTGGTTAACATACACATCTGAACAAATATTTAAATGAAGTCATCGTACCTAATAGAAATTGTTAAGAAATTGTGGTTGGGCCTAACTCAACCCTATATAATCAATTGGTAGAGTGAGGATTGCCCCCACTTATAAACAGATGTTCATGCCATATATTGTCCGATTTGGGACTCTTAACAGAAATCATCATGACTCACCATGCAAATTAAGAATATAACCATACATATATCAAACAATAGGTAGAAATCCCCAAAATATAACTACTAATAACAGACTAAACTATCACACCCTTTTTAAACAACTAGAGAGACAACTTGTTTTATTTGCTTTATTAACACTAGGATGAAGGTAAAGGGCATCAAGCCAAACTCCAACCGGTGATGATTACTAATACAAATGTTGTGCAAGCCTTGGACGAGGGTGGACCAAAAGAGGCTTTTCTCTCTGTAAAGTAAGCCCATATGCTTCATCCATGTTGAGCTTTTCCGGCAATAACCCGTCCTCCAACTCCCAATCGAATGCATGAACCAATGTCGCAGTGAGAAGTTGAACCATCCTGAGTCCAAGACTCATACCAGCACATATTCTACGCCCAGCGCCAAAAGGTATCACCTCAAAGTCAGTTCCCTTAATATCAACATCAAACTTCTCACCACCAGGGAGAAACCTTTCCGGCTTGAACTCCAATGGGCTGGACCATTCTTTAGGGTCACGTGATATGGCCCAAACATTAACCAACAGAGTTGCACCTTTAGGGATATGATAGTTGAAGATTTCACAGCTCTCATTTGCAACACGCGGGAGCGAAAGTGGCGTCGATGGATGAAGTCGAAATGTTTCCTTCACCACAGCTTCTAAGTAAGGAAGATGAGCCAAGTCCAGTTCAGTAACCAACCTGTCTGGTCCAACAACAGCGTCCAACTCTTTTTGAATGGAAACCATAAGTCTAGGGTTTCTTATCAATTCAGCAATAGCCCACTCTGTCGTGCTTGATGATGTGTCTGTTCCAGCTGTAAACATGTTCTACAAGACCAGATATATTAATTATTAAAACTAACGAAAGTACTAAAAATAATATATGAAAAAATTGTTGACATACCAAGAGTAAAGCTTTGATCTCGGTATCATTGAGTTTGTCTCCATCTTCATCAACTTTTTCTTTTAGTGACAGTAACGTGCTCAACAAGTCATTATGTTTCTCACTCTTGGAAACCTTGTGATCCTCAATGATGCTGGTTAAAAATGCATCAAACCTTTTGTGTAATTTCTTCATCTTGCCTTGCACACCTTGAAGATCTAACCACTCTAAAGCAGGAATAAAATCACCAACGTTGAAAACTCCAGCTAATACCATAAGCTCAACAACCATTGACTTAAACTCATCTGCCCTAGGATCACAACCACTATTGCCGTCGTTAAATACTCGCCGTCCTATCATTACTCTTGCCAATGCGTTGGTTGTGCATACATTTAACATTTGTCCTAAGTTTGCTGCTTTGGATCCTGAACTTGCCAAATTGCGGATTAATCTTGCTACCTCTACCTGTGTTTATGTGCATTTTTGTTAATATCTTTTTTCTAGTAATTTTAGGGTTTAGATTATCCAATAAAAATAAAAGGATGTCCTGGATTTGAACTTATACTGACTTAACGGAACCAAAAAAAAAATTATCTTAAATTATTCATATTTAAGATAAATAGCAAAAAAAAATTCTTATCAAAAAATACAATTATTATTTTTATATTCAAGACAGAATATGGAATATTATACATCTTTTTAAAATGATGATTTTCATTTGGACTTTTCGAAGAGAATTAATTAAAAACTACTACTTTAGAACATCCCTAAACTTTTTCACTTGACACTAAACTTTGTCATTTAAAACACACACTAAAAAAAATGGTTGGTGTCAAAAAGAAAAAGAAGAAGAATGGTTGGTTGAGGTTTGAAAGATGAGTTAAGTAACATCATGCGACATGGTAGGGGTAGCTAGTGCACACCATTTATTTTTGGTTGCTGGTAAGATGGGCACATTGGTTGTAACGTGATTGAATTATTCCCAAAACTGTACAAGGAGTCTATAAATTTTTGGATGTACTTATCTTTTACTGGTTTAGAGTGTTATTTTTTATATGGAAATAATTACTATACATAAAAATGAATGTCAGACATTTATATTCCTGTAGGCATATACAAAGTACCTGAAAAGGAAAGTATCTCAACAACCATAATAATTACAGAATTGAATACCAGTACATTTGATTTTTAAAAGTTTACCTACCTTTCTATGTGTTTGAATGTGTTATTTTATGTCAAAATACACTACTTATAATCTTTTCGATACATTTTAATGGAAATTTTGATAAACACTTCAAGATTTTAAACACAGCCGGCTTCTTTTCATATGAATAATTCTTAAATTGAACTTATTTTACTTTTTTTTAAGAGAGATTCAACTTATCAACTCAAGAATAACTTTTTTTAATTATAACTTTGTAAATTTTTTTTAATAATTTATTTGATCAATTCTACTCAAGGATATATGTTAGAATTTCTTTTAGGAACTATAATATATATATATATATATATATATATATATATATATATATATATATATATATATATATATATATATATATATATATATATATATATATATATATATATATATATATATATATATATATATATATATATATATATATATATATATATATATATATATATATATATATATATATATATATATATATATATATATATATAAATTAAATGTTTAAATATGTTTTAGACTAATATATGTTGATTTAATAATGAATTTAAATAAATTAATTTAAATAGGTTTTAGACTAAAACTGGTTGTTTGTAGAATAACTTGTAGAAGTCCTAAAGTTCAATATTCTTAAATTGAGACAAAAATAAATGAAAATTTAATGAGAAACAATTTATTTAACTTTATTTGCAAATCATAGTTCTACAGATAAAAATGAATATAACTAAAGTGAACACAATCAATACAGTTCGAACTCTTAGATTTTATTTAAATAAGTTTTAGTTTTTAGTTTTTAAGTTTTATTTTATAAATCAATTTTATAAAATAGTTTGAAAAAAAAGAAAACAATCTCATTTTTAAATATTATTTTAAAGTTGCAAAATATGACAAATTTGTCATTAATGAAAAGTATACTATTTCTCTTTACTTTTTTCATTTACCATTAAAACTAAAATTTAAAAGTCAAAATTCCAATTTTTTTAGTTTTAAAAACTTTTAACTAAAAAATAATTTTCGAAAATAGTTTTATAAAATTAAACTATCAAACAAATTTTATTATTTTAAAATTTTAAAAACCAAAAATACAATTTTACAAAATTAAACCAAAAAAATAAATTATTTAACTCTAACTATTAATATTCACTTAAGTTATTTTGACACCTAAAGTTGGAAAGGGCTTTAGTGATGTTAGATGACTTTGATAATTTTGTTTATCTAATTATTTATAATTGTATTAATCATTTATTGACAAAATCACCAAATAATTGATTTAGTAAAGTTACCTTGTCCCATAAAGCTACACCTACACTGTAAATACGGTTTCAATTTTTTTAGCCCTCCAAGAAGAACAGTGGTAGGGCAAGAGAGGTTTAAACACAAAAGACGAAGATATCTTTACATGAAAAGGAAAGGAAAGGAAAGCGTGATCATAACCTGTCGTATGTGACTAAAATCATCCAAAGCCTTAGAAGAAAACATGTGAACGTACGATATTTTCCTCAATAAACGCCACCGTGGTCCATACGGAGCAAACACCAGATCCTGATAATTATATGCTATGTATTTAGCGCCGGAGTTAGGTGGCCGGCTCGAAAAGTTAGCATCGTGAACCTTTAAGAACTGCTCCGCCACGGAGGCGGAGGCGGCGACTATCACGTCGACGAAACCCAAACGGAGGTGCATGAGAGGGCCGTGTTTAAGAGCTAAGGCTGCTAGGGCGTGGTGTGGTACGGGGCCCATGTGAGGTAAGTTTCCGACGATCGGCCATGGTTTAGGCCCCGGTGGAAGAGGTAAGGAAGGCTTTGATATTAGGTTTAAGAGTTTGTAAATGAGAATGGACGCAGCAATTGTGATAAATACAATGATCCATGGAGACATATTTGTGCAAATTTGTCTAAACAGTGAGATGAACCCTAGTGTATTTTGATGGTGTCACTTACAACACAAACTAATTGATATATATAGAGGTGTATTAAGAAAGGAGATTTATTACCCCTATACAAACTGCACCGTATGTATCTATTTAATGTATAAAATACGGTATTTAAAATACTTGAATGATAGGGGTAGCTAGTCTACGGCATTTACTTTTGGTTGACGGTAAGTTGGGCACGTTGCTTGTGACGTACTAATTATTCAATTATTTCCAAACATGTAATAGGAGTCTAAGTTTATGGATGTGCTTATTTTTGTATTAGTTTACTTTAGGGTGTTCTTTTTAATTGATAGGACATAGTTACTATATATATAGAAATGAATGTCAAAGATTACATATAATATAAAGTACAAACTACATCGTGAGGAGAAATCTAACCTTCCATAAAAAAACAAAGAACCGACACAAATCAATATGAGAATACAAGGAGACAAGAAATCTGTAATTGAATACATCTGATTTTTAAAACTTTACCTACCCTTCTATGTGTTTGAATGTGTTAAAATATAATATCAAAATGATTTTCTTTTTTTTTACTGTAAGCTGCTTAGTGAAAAAAACTCCCCTAATATATTGTAGAATTTTTTTTGTTAAGTAATATATTTGTGAGAAATATATTATATATTCACCCAAAATTTAAAAATGTGTTTGGTTGAAGTAATTGAAAATTTTTAAAAAATTTAAAATTTTAAGTAATTTAAATAATTTAATTGAAATCCATTTATTTTTATATTTTTTTTGCTTGGATGAAATATTAAAATGATTCATTGTTAAGTTTTTTCAGTTATTTTCATAAATTTTAAAAAAATTTGTCCAAATTTAAAATATGAAAAATAAGGATTAATTTGTAATTTTTGAAATTTGAAGGATCAATTAGTAAAATTTAAAATTATTAGGACTTATTTGCATTTTTTTAAAATTTTGGACATGAATTTGAAATTTTTCATAAAATATTAGGATTATCTTGTAAATTTTAAAAAATTAATAATAAATAATTTAACATTCACATTATATAGAGTGAAAGAACAATATCAAAGTCTTTACTTTTTTATGTCATTTGATATTCCTTAAATTTAATTTAAATAAAATATTTCATAAATTTACATTATATTAACAATTCTTCATTTTTTTATTAAAACATTGGATTTTGATCAATTCATTTTGAATTCCCTCCAAAATTACTTTCTTTCATTAAAATATTTCATCAATACACACTTTTAAAGTGATAGATAAGTGAGTTTTCTAATTTATAAATGTTTAAGTCTTCAAATTTCAAACTAATGTGGGACTACTATCCACAATACTCAAACTTACTACATTTTCAACACTCCTTCTCAAATGTAAGTCCACAATATTCCCTCTCAAATAAAAGTTTTTTTAATCAACACTAATCACACTTGTCACATTCTCAACGAATTTAACTTATCAACTCTCTCGAAAATAAGTTTTTTAATAATAACTTATACCAAAAAAAGTTATTTTGGTAATATTTTATTTTATCAATATATATTTTGATTATATATATATATATATATATATATATATATATATATATATATATATATATATATATATATATATATATATATATATATATATATATATATATATATATATATATATATATATTTGAATATTTTTTTTCTTCTCTACAAACTTTAATTTTTATTTTTTCTCCTGTAAAAAATAAAGGCTTTAGTTTGTATTATTAAATTAACATATATTTTTGAATGATTTTTTGTATGCATTTGTAAAATAATATAAAAAAATTATTTCTTATAAAATGAGATAAATCAATTTATTTAAAAATTTAAATTTTTTCTTAATTTTATCTTAGTATTTTGATGTTAAAATTTTTTAGTTTATATTAAAAAATTAAATATTTATAAAAAAAAGTTATATATTTTTCTTCAAATAATTTAATGATTAGGTTCACACAGTTTTACCTTTAAGTGTGAAAGAAGTGAAAAATCTAAGTTTAGACTCAAATATGTGTCATCTTTTTAACCAGAAGCTAATTTATACTTATAAATTATTTATGTAATATTTTAAACATATAGATATTAGGTTAGGCTAAATTATTATTACGCTTGTGGTGTCGTGAAATATTTGTGTTGAGTCTCAAGAGAAACGTCATAATGTAGTTCAAATCTCTTTCAGACGAAAGAATAAGTTCATGGAAAAAGTTATTTGACTCTTTCACTGCTCAATTCACAAAACATAAGCGAGAACTCGCCAATAATCTTCTTCTCAATGGAATCTAGCAGAAAAAGAAAGAGACCTTATGGATATATATTGACTGATTTACAAAGATAACAATAGAAGTAGGGGTTGGATGATAGTTTGAAATGCTGGATATTTAAGAAGGGGTTGAGGTTGGACTGTATGTTCCATATAAAATTAGGGATGGAAGGTTCCAGTAGCTTGAATGACATGGTGGATAGGAGTTTAACCTTATATTAAATATGAATATGAATTCATAGTCGAAGAATAAGAGAGAGGTCGAGGAGCAGAGAACCCTAGAAGTCGTCAAAATGATAGAAACCAAGGACCTCGGGACAAGTTCTCATCACACACTCATTTTAAAATATCGAGGAAGAAAATTTGAAAACAATGAGCAAACACCGACTTTAAAGAAGCCAAGATCAAGAACCCTTACTCAGATAGGGAATCAACCAGGACAGACAAATAAAAGTATTGTTGTTTTCAAAAAAGTTACAGGCACAACACGAACGAATGCATTAACTTGAAGGATAAGATTTAGAAGCTACTAAAAATGGGGGGGGGCGACTTACCTGGAACCCAAGAGAGTGGTTGGAAGAAAGATCAAAGTAGAAGTAAAGACAATAAGAAAAAACGATTTCCCTGCCGAGAAAACAAGTCCCAAAGAAAACTATAGAGGTTATCAACGGGGCTAAAGGAATGAATGACAACAATGAAGAAGAATAAGAAGATTCGAAAAGAAAGTGTTTGTACATCACACCCATCACCTCATACCTTCATCAACCAAGGAACCCTTCCGAAGGCATGATAGAAAGAAGAATATTTTAGTTGATTGAAATAGTAAGAAGGAGGGAGCGAGCTATGAAGGAAAATCGGAGAGGCCTATTCTAGGATTTTGAAGTAGTGAAAATGTAGGCAGAATCCCAAAATGAAAATTTTCATTTGGTCATAATAGCGACCATATCATACTTTGATGTGTCAAAAATCCACATCGACGTGGAAAGTTCTTGTGATATCATGTATACAGAGCTTTTTGAAAAAATAAGCTAAAAAAGAGAAGTTATGGCCATACGAGGGAGCTGACCTACTAGCTTTTAATGACACAATCACATGCCTTTGGGGGGGGGGGGGTACATTAAGTTAATGGTCAACCTAGGGGAAGGGAGGGACACAAGGACGGTCCACCTGAAGCTTTTAGTTGTTCCTTGCAAAAACGTCTACATCTTCATCTTAGGCAGACCCTTAGGAAAAACGTTGGACGTGATGTCCTCTCCGATCCACTTGAAAAGGAAGTATCACAACGTTCTCACGAGCTTGTGAAAATATGTTTTGACTTGCTGGCAACATGAATGATACATAAGACTTTGTTATCTGATCAAAAAGAAGATATAAAGAGGATATGATGGAAATTAATATGACCTCACTCACTAAGTAACTAAAAGAAGTGGTGACCAATTCGTCAAATAAAGAGATGTGAAAGTATGGCGTGAGTCATTTTGATCTCAAAGGTGTAAAGGAATACTATGAATGAAGGATGAAGCCAACCACGGTGCATTATGACAACACATTGATAGACCAATAAAGAGCGACATAGTCGCCTGGTTAAGTTTCCTTTTTTTTTCTATATACATAAAATACATTATGCATCATCATGTAGTATCTTTGTGATATCATTTTTCAACGAGAATAAATAAATTTTCACAAATTTTGTTCCTTATGATCACAAGGATATGCACGACCCATGGGTGCTATCATAATCTTACTAGTATATGACTGTTGGTTGAGATTTCGACACTCATTAATGTTGGAAACAAATTGGAGGTTCAACGTCATATTCTGAATAAGAGCATGATGATTTTGATAGTGACCAGTAACAAGGACGTTTCAACGAATGTGAAGATAAAGAATAGGTTGTTGGAGTTTGAAGAATTACTCTAAGAAAGAATACGTTATTTTTGACAGGGAAATATTGAAGATCTATTCGAAGAAATCTTTACATAGGGGGTGTTATGGTTTAGGACTTAGAAGTATTTTTAGTCTAGACTGCAGTTCGACGATGTTCACTTGAAGAGGCGGTTCAACAGATGTATTTCAAATAAGGCTGATAACTACTTTTTGGCCTTATCCGTTCTCAAAACACGTGAAAAGCTTTGAAGCAACGAAACGCATGTAGACTGAAGACGTGGCATTTTCTGGCGAGAAGACCGTTATATGACCGTTATTTTTGACTTAGTATAAATAGAACACTTAGCATTTAGGATTGGGTGTTCAACAATTGTGCAAAAACTCTAAACTTTACTCCCAATACCTGCGTGTGAGAAAAGAGTGCTCTTGAGAGAAAATGTATGTTTGAATACCATACCTAGTAATCAAATTCATTTAAATTACAATCATTTACCTTTGCTTGTAATTTATTTAAAGTCAGTTTTGACATTTATTACTTATCATTTATCTTCAAGCAATTTACCTTTTGCAATCTACATTTTTGTACTTACTTAAAAAGAAACCACAACACTCCAGTAATGACTTTGAAACATATTTAAAGAACATAGTCTAAATGTTCATAATTAATAAACCCATAAACTAAATAACTACGCATGTCCTAGTAGTAATCTAGGCGATCCTGTAAGTCACCAAGGATTTAATAACTTTGAAAGACTAGCGGTTGTTTACCATTTTTTATGGTAAACAAATTGGCACACCCGGTGGAACTGGTGTT